GTTTTGATTCATGTAAAATTTTGCTTCCACTTCACAATTGTATACCACTTTGTGTTGGTCTTTCACATTAAATTCCAGTGAAATATATTTGTTTGTGGTTGTAATGTGACAAAATATGGAGAAGTTCAAGGGGTATGAATACTTTTGCAAACCACTGTAAGTGTGGTGAAGCCAAATAAATGTAACATCTGCCTGCCATACAATGAGCTTCTGCCTGTTGAACTGACCCGCTGCTCTGCTGCGCTATCATCTTCATCATCAGAGCAGAAGCCGACTTTACATTAGCAAGATGGATTAATGACTGAACAAACATCCACATCTTTTTTTATCACCTCTGTGGGTAACAATATATAAAAAAAACAATTTTTTTTTTCCTCCGAAAACTTGAATGTGAAAAAACGACAGTTGTTAAAGCTTCGCTCTGTGCGACGGGGGGGATGAACCCACGACACGATTTAACTTTTCTACAGCGGGAGGGGGACATTTTGAGGATTTATTCTCTCTATATGTGTTTTAAAACACTATATTTCTTCATTTATTTTGAGAATATTTCGAACTCCTCCTGCTCATCGCACCTGACACAGGTGCGATGACGTAACGACGACAGGACAGAGTATAAATTTCTACCGTAGGCCAACTTCATACCGTTTCTACCGTCTACTGCATATACCGCGCAGCCCTAAAACTGACCACTTGACCCTTAAAAAAAGATAATTCAGGATTTGAACATATTAGTTTATCTAACTCTAGTAATAAAACTGCAGAGTGGCCTTCTAAACTTTACGGTAGTCGGTCCACACAACACTTCATCTGTGCACACAGGAGACAGAACTCCAGAACWCTAATGTCTTTTCTTGTTGATTTTGAGAATCTTTGTCAATATTCAGACTGACTGAAAGTGTTYGTGTTATTGGACAGGTCATAAATTAGTAATGTTTAGGTTGTGCCTTAACACATGGATACAGATAGTGTTGATTCTGTTTACATCCAACTTTATAGGCATGTGCTTCAGCCGCTCGTTGCACTATCAATTCTACGTGTGGTATTTCCACACGCTGCCGTACCTGCTCTGGAGCGGAGGTGTGAAGAAACTGGCCCACCTGCTCAGGTAGACGGGAGTATTAATATAAATCAGATTTTTTTCCAGCACAGTGTGCTATAATTCACGTAAAAATACCTTTCGTTTCCTGCTGTGCAGAGTCCTGATCCTAGGACTGATTGAGCTTTCGTGGAACACCTATCCATCAACAAACGGCAGCTCTGCTGCTCTTCATGTTTGTCACCTCATCATCCTCCTCTGTCTGTGGCTCGCTCCACCTCTRCACTCAGCCCAGGCTGAGAAACGAGAACATTCAGCCGTAAAGGACAAACGCCACTGAGCCACAGCCTGATCTGATYGGACAGGAAGCCCAATCAGCTGCTGAACAGCCTCCATTTTTCCTCCCTGTTTGACCCTGATCCTTGCAGAGGGAGGTCTCTGGTCACATGTTATAGTGGAAAAAAGCAGCTTTTATTGCTTCTTATTTCTGATCACTGCTTAAAGTGACAAAAGCTCATCTGTTGGTGCGAACGGATACCTGCACCATGTGATGGCTTGTAGCCGAGGCTTACAGTTGAAAAGATGAGAAATGATTCTCAGGTTTGTTTAGGTACATAACGGGAAGCACATGTTTTGAAAAAAAAAAAAACGTCATGTGCATTACAAAATCTAGCTTCTATTTAAAACTAGCTGCAGTTAATTGGCACACAGATGATCTTGTGTGTATTCAGTAAACAGTATGTTGACATAGTTTGCCAAAGACTTAAGAGTTAAGTGCTGGAGTTTAAATTGACTCGATTTCCAAATATTTCTCCATATATTTTTACAAAATACTGTAAGTAAACAGTTGATGGTTAAAGTTGTTTCTGTTGGATTTGTAATTAACTTATGTGTGCTTTTGTATGGGTCAAAGCAAGATTTTCTAGACACTTAAAATGTTAAAAAAAAAAAAAAACAGTGAACCGTAAAAACAGAATTTTTAACATTTTAAATATATATATATGTATATTTTTAGAGGAGCTGAGTGATTGTAGTGATCCCTTAAGTTTAGAAGGCTTTTTTTTAAATATTATTGAACAGTAATGGGTTAAATATCTGCTTTGAGGATTAGTTTTCAGTCTTTGTTTATTAGTAAGCATAGACACCACTTAACTTTGACAAGTAGTCAAATTGGCTTCCAGCAGGTTTTGTTTCCACAATCATTTTATTATGTAAGCAGTTCTTCCATTATTATACTAAATAAACAATCTGATCCTTCACTATGGTTCTACTTTTGGCATAGTATACATTATTACAATACAGGCTACATTCTGAGCTACAAAAAGCTTATTCAGATGGTCAAGGCATTCTTGTGTTTGCATACAGCATAGCTCTAATAATAAAAGGCCACTTGGTCTATGTTGTATAAAATTAGAATTGACTTGGCACTGGTTTAAAGTTAGTTAAAATACAGCATTGTTATTTGGAATCTGTCTGTAAATCAGTAAGTCTGGCTCAGTTTCTACGGTCTCACATGTTATTGGGGTTATAGCAGAGCATGTTGAGTTTGATGTTCTCGTCCCAGTGACGCAGCAGCAGAAACAGCTGCCTGGCTGCTCCTCTGAGCCCTGCCAGGTCCACCCCCTCCGGCAGCTTCTGACCGCGCAGCCAGAAGTCTGCTTTTGCCGCCACTAGTTCCCACTCCATGAAGAACCCGGCGCACCGGTGCTCCAGCCAGGCCAGAGCCACGGCCGTGGCCCAGGTCGAGCCCTCCAGGTCCTCCTGAGCCAGCTGGCTGCCGCCCTGAAGGTCGCCCGGCTCTGCCGAGGAGCCCTCGCATATGTCCGTCTCTGAGCCCCGACCGCTGTCCGCTTGGCCCAGGCTCTGAGCGGGGCCCACGGACAGCTCCAAGGAGCCCTCCTCCGAGCTGAGGAGGTCGGGGGGCGAGGTGACGGGGTCTCGGTCAGACAGGTGTCTTCGCACGAGCCTCAGCTCCAGCATCAGGGGGTTGTCGACTGGGGTGTGGTGGAAAGGAGGGGCAGACGCTTTGGCAATGGAGGACGAAGATGGAGAGAAGGTAACGTGGTGACCAGCAGGAGGCTTGGCAGAGGTGGATAAAGAGGGAGCGCTGGGAGACGTACAGCGGAAAGCTGGGCTGAGACTGCGGCGATGAAGGCTGTAAGGTGAGGCTCTTTTAAGGCGGTCCAGGGGGATCTGGACGCAGTCTGAGTAGACCTCRGTCAGTAAAAAGGCTCCTGAGGCCAGTTGCAGGTGCACCTAAAGGAAAACCAATGAAAAGTGAAGCAAATCAGGCTTAAAGGAGACGTCATGCTGTAAAATCCTTTTCCCCACAWTATAATCATTCAGTTGGGGTCTATATAAATTGGACCTGCTTTGTTCTGAAGTCCTTATTGTAGCTCCACAAGCCCCTCTTTCACCCCTTTTCTGAGGCATGTCTCAGATCAACTTGTTTTGAGGCTGTCTCTTTAAATCCAACTTTGCACCATGCCCCCCTTCATCTCCCAGCGRTCCGTTCTTTGTGGTTTAGGACAATGCTTTGCTGTAATTTGCCTAAAAAGCTAAAACTGAGTTGCAAGAGCTAAAGAAAAATTAAGCTTAACAAAAGCTAATTGCAGCAAAAGGCTAGGCTTAAAAATGGCAAATTGTAAGCTAAAAGTTGCAAAAAAGGTAAAAAACTAAAGTAGCTAAATGCTAGCTGTAATCTAAAAGCGGAACAGGATTGAAAACTAGCAAAAGACAAACAAAGTCACAGAATGGTAGCTGAATGTAACACAAGAATACATAAAGCAACTGAAACTTGACATATTGCTGTGGGAAAATCATTTGAAAATGATAGTTATTAAAACATACTGAACAGTTTTCTACATATATGGCTGAAATGGCACAAATTATGCAAAAGTAGTTAGACTGCAAAATACGCATGTCAATAAAAAGGAAAATAATCTGAAGTCTGACTTATTCACAGTCATGATCCAGAGTTGCTTTAAATGTATAGTTTGTCAGTCTTTCACTTAAGCCAGTTTTCCCTATAGACAGTATTTTTATTCCATCTTATTATATGTTATGAGATAAGTAAAACCCTCTCAGATGTCCTGGCCATACRTGTTTTCAGCTCACCAGGGGCAGGTAGTCTGGAGCTTCACTTTTAGCTTGTTTGTCTGTCTCTGCAGATAAACAGTGAGACTTGAGAGGAACCTGTTTCCCTGATGAGATAGAGGACCTGAGTCGTCCCAGTGGGAACCTGGAGATACAAAAATTTTTTTAAAAAACTGACATTGATATGTTGGAATTTGCACTAATTTTTTTAATCATGTACAGAATGAAAGACTTACCTGGTACCAAAGAAGCTCTCCAGGGACTTGCTCTCTATAGATCGCTGAGAACAGTTGCAGGACTGGGTTGATGTTACAGGGGCCATGGTGCAGGAGCCGCTGCCACCTACATCTGAGACAACATTATGAAGTAAAACATTAAAGTGCCTGTGACATGCTTATCTTTCAAATACAAAAAAACAAAAAACTTTATATTTAAGAAACGGCATAATACGTGTTAACTGACCCTTTTTGTCACATAACTGCATATTTTCTTTTGAACTTGGTTCAGCCAAAGTGAAACAGGAAGTGACATCAAAGGGAATCTCTTTAAAAATAAAACTCCACTGTCTTTATTTATTGAAACAATATTATTTGAACTCTGACTCTTCTTCATATCTCTCTGATAGTGACTCAAAATAATAAAATAAACATCAGATTATCCTCTACTGTCTGTGTTGGCCATTGTAGCAATTCTCTGTTTACATCCAAGAAGATCTCATTGGCTTTTAAAGATGTGAGGTTTTATTATTATTATTATTATTATTATTATTATTATTATTTCATCAGTATTTCAGGGTTTAGGTGAAAAGTTTCAGAAGTTTCTGCTCTTTGGTCATTAGATCAGAGAGATGATTGGTGTTTGAAGGAAGAGAGATTTTTCCACGTGTTAGACCTGAGACAGCACTGTGTGGTTTTTAAAGCAAGAAACGTTAAACACCTACATTTTTGTGAGGAACCTTAAATGAGTGTGATTTCTAGAAATCGTTGAACAAATTCAGATGCAGTTGGACTTTTTCTTTTGTTTGGATTCTGTGGTTTGAGCTAATGGAAGTTTGAAAACTAATCTTCAGGATGTCCAGAAGAAGGGTGAAATTTGCTTTGATTAAAAATATTGAATTTATTTTTATTTTTATTTTTTGCTGGAACAAGTATGAAAACAATTTCCACTAATTATTGTTGGTCTTAATAAAAAATATTAAAAAAAACAATAAAACTGAGTTTTTAAATTATATTTTAGTATATTAAAATGCATACAAATTATAAATTTTAGTCCATTGTCCATCCAACATTGTAACCAACTGTGGTTTTATACGAATAAACATTATTAAACTGAAGTTTTCTTTCCACAAATGTGAGGTTCATTAAATACCAACAATAAACTTTGAATTTAAAACAAATTATTTTGTGTATTCAACACAATACTGGCCTCCTTAGATTTATTTATTTATTTATTTATTTATTTATTTATTTATTTAGTACAGCATCTTGAGATGAGGTTTGATTTGTTTTGGACCTATATAAATAAGAATTGAAATAAATGTAATTCAATTGTTTTCTAGAGGTTTCTTGTTATTTATAAATAATTGTCAAACCTTATCAGAAAATTTTATGTAGAAATGATTTAAAACGTTTCAATAACAATAAAAGACAGTTTTGATAAAGTTAAAATATTTTGTAGTGTTTATATGATAAAATGTTTTCTCTCAGAGAGCTTTGGTTATAATTTAAGACTTAAAAGTTTATTTTTATATTTAGCAAAAGCTGGTTTATTATATTTAAAGGGGGTATTATGAAAAACTGAATTTTGAGCTTTAAATGATGTTATAATGTCATTCCCTCATCAAAACATTTGAAGAGCGTTGCTTTGACTCATTCATGCATGTTTGAAAAATCCTTGAATTTTCTGTGGAGCTGCCTAAACACTTTCTGGTACAAAGCACCGCCTATTTGTTCAAAGCTCCTCCTCTGCCCCACAGATCACCCTCCCCCAAAGCATTGCTGTGAAGCTGTGCTGAAGTGGGAGTGTTTAAAACAATGTAAAATAGTTACTTGGTTATGGAATAAAATTGGACTATGTGCCTGGAAAATACATAATTACTCCCTCGCCCCCTTTAAAAGAACATTCAGAGTAAAAGAAACTATTTTGATTTTTGGTTTTAGTAAAATTATCTTATTAATCAAATATGGATTTGAGCATCTTTAGCTCATTCAATTTCTGAGTCAAACATTGAAAAACTTGTCTAATATTAAGTTTTTTTATTGGTAACAAAACTTGATGAACATAAAACAAATTGGAGTCATTTAAATACTCAACTGCAACTTATAGATAAAAATCAGTGACATTCATGAGTATTCAAATGTATAAATTGCATTTAACAAACATCACACAAGCTTTAGGTTTGAAATCTGTTAAAAACAAAATAAATGAAAACCGTTTTGAAATTAAAATGCAAAACTGAACAAATTAGGCCTAAACATTTTTTGCAACATTTGCAAAACACACATGACGTGTGCAACATGTTTGAACAACTTTGTACCTTCCTGTCTGAGACACACAAAACTGTTGGTGTTTTAGTCGTTCAGTCTGTTTACCTGTAGATTTCCAGGTATCCTTGACCTCCTCGTAGTCTCTGCTGGACCTCCGTCGGCCCAAACCAACAGAGTAAGCCCTCTGTCTGCGACCGCCTGACTGAGAGGTTTGCCTGTTGCCCAAATGAATCCCTGCACACACACACACACACACACACACACACACACACACACACACACACACACAC